GATACTTCTGCTGCTGTTATGCAGCCTTTACTCCTTGAGTAATCTTCTTGATTTCCCTTGGGCTGTGAGGCAGCTTCTCACATGAGAAAGTTCAGAATATTCTTGCTTGTCCCAGTTAAATTAATTTGTATGCTGAGCCATGCAGGTGAGGGCAAAGAGTATATTCATTTTCTCAGCTGCTGGGTGACCAGGATGTTTGAGGAAGAATTCAGTCTGAAAGAGCTGGTACTACTGAGATGGGAAGGCTGATACCACACAGTCACCTTCCCATGGTGTTCCTCTTGGATTGTATCACTCATCAGCCCTGGGAGATGCTGTTTTTCTGAGTCATTAAAATCTGTGTCTTTTCCTCCTTTACATTTCCAGTGAGATTTTCAGATAACTATTTCTCAGGGTGTTTTTTTATGACCAAAAAGCCGCTGTTCTGGGAGTTTAGGCTGATGTTCTCAGCTCACAGCAGTCTCTGGGGGCCAGGATGGGGCGTGGAACAGATCTAGAGAGGGAGAACTCTGATATGCTGTACACGATGTAATCTCTAAATAAGCACAGCAGGTCTGATCTATGCCACAGGAGATAAGTCAAGAGGCTGAAGGATTTTTGGTCTGATACAAAATAATTGTTCTCAAACTGCTGAAACACTGGAAAAAGATGAAAACGTAGAAGTATCTTCAGCATTGTCTATTGGGTGTTTTCTCTTAACTAGTGGCTGTTCTGACTTGCTGGGTTACCACAACAATTGTGTTTCTTCCATAGATCTTTGATTAGTTGGTGGTCTAATATTTTTTTTTCCAAATTAGTGTTATGGTAGAGTTAATGGCTGTGCTTTTCAGGTATGATGGGTCTTTTCAGGGGGAAAAAAAACATACCACAGGCACTTCTAAAGTGTGCATTTCAATAGGTCTGGTAAAGTGAAAAATATCCCTGAAATAATGAGGCAGCACAGGAATACTGCATTCTGACCATCAAAAAGGGCTGCACACAGTTATTCTGTGTGGAGCCCATGCAGCATGGGAAACAATTCATGGTGTGGCAGCATGATCATTCTCTTTGTGCTCAGTACTGGGAGGGAAGGAGAAGAGAAGGAAATGGTATCTCTAAGCAAAAAAAAAAACAAAACCAAAAACAACAACAAAAAAAAAACCCTAACAAAAAAACCCCAAACAAACAAACAAAAAAAAAACCCAAAAAACAATTAATGACAGGCATAGACTAGTAATTTTTCTAATAGGTTCATATGTTCGTCATTTAACAGGATGAGAAAATTTTGAGTAAAATCACCAGAAATAATTTTCTAGTAGGGCTTTTTAGTCTTGGCATATTTATGAATATTTCATGTATGACTTTTTTACTATTAAGAGCTATATTTAAAATTTCATACTCAGCTTTAAAGTTTGGTCTGATTTAAAATAGTCTTCAGAATATAAATTTAACTTTCCTAAAAGGAGAAACACCAAAAAATTATAAAACCCTGAAAAAGGAAACTAGTCTTAATTATAGATAGAGGACTTTATACTTCTTTTGAGGATAATTAAGTTATTTTTTAAGTGAAAATCAGCATGTCATTTGGGTTTATCCCAATGATACAAATAGATTCCTTAATTTTACTTCTGTTCACTGAGTTCTACAGGTGCTTCAGTGAAACATGTGCCTGGAAGAATTGGACCTCCAAAGATAAAATAAGGCTGTACAGGCTGGATTGCTGGCTTTCCTGGCATGGCTGAGACACAAACAGCAAGGCTTCCCTCTGGAAGCAAGAGCAGACCTCGTGCCCATTAAGCCCCATTGGTGGGAAGTCCAGTTGGAGATGGAGCTTATTTTAAACATAAGGGAATTAGTCCAGCTTCCATTTAAATCACTGGCACAGCTCCAGCTATATTCAACCAGAGAAGGGCTGAGGCAGCAGGCACACAAAACCCTGTTTCTAAGCCTGATCCCAGCTTTTCTTACACATCCAAAGCTCATGCTGAGTACTGTGGTCACTTTAGCAGGATTAGGCTGAGCGGATTGTTTGGGCAGATTTATGTGCCCATTCATTGTAAGAAGTACTGATACAGTTCTCAGTGATATACGGTTGATAAATATTCATTTGTTAAAATACAGGACACCTGTTGACAAGGTAAACTATGATTGTTCCAAGCAAATTGCTCAAGTGTGGTCGAATGTGGTGTACAATAATTGGCTGAACAGCTCTCGTGTTTTCTGTAGCCCTGCTCCAGCAAAGCACTCAGGCGTGTGTTTGCCATTAAGCACCTGCCTACCTCCACTCCAGCCAGTCTGACTGCCCTGCTCTGTGTGGAGTGTGTGTTTTGGAGAAATGGGGACTAAATTCCATGGACCCCACTGTATCATGCCTGTGGTGTGTGTTCCCAGTCCTCTGGGAAGCCAAACATGATGCTGGGTGTGAGGGTCACTTTGTAGGGACAGACCCCTGCAGTGCCTGACACTTTTCACTTGCTGGGTTTAAGCAGTGATCTTGGATGCTCAGTGGTGCCAGAAGGTTCTCATTTGTCACCTAAGCAGTGTCAGGAGGTGTGACAGGTAAGTGTCACCCCTGGGATGCAAGGGCAGCATTTTCCTGTGGACTGTGTGCATGCACATCACCTGGGGCGGCTCAGGTGATGATGACTATCTCATTGTTACACCTCGTTGTTATGGATATAATCAGTGGCAAAAACATGCACCTGAGCAGTGTGTGGAAGGATCTACTTTTATTCTTCTGAAAGAGGGGGGAAGGAAATTAAATTCCAGCCTGAAACAATCCCTCTTTATTTAATGCTCCTCAGTATAGATATGACAAAATGATGAGAAATGTAAATGTTTCCTTTTGTAATGAAGTAACCAGTATTACATGTATGGACATTCTACTTCACTGAGTTTTCTGCTGGGCACAGGAATAATTCTGGTTCCTTAGCAGGATTTTGAGGCGAGGAGGGGAACTGGAGATGATGTAATGGGCTGCCCTCTGCTAACAATATGAGGACCAATTACAAATAAGTGACATAACTTAAAAAGACAGGTGATGAAAAGAACACCCATCATACAAAGATGAGGCACTAAAATCACGTTAGAAAAGTACTAGGGATTTGAATCTGCCACCCACTGAAAACAATAGCAAGACCCCCACTGAATTAAATGCCTCAAGCCCTTACACAGCACTGATTCCATGCTATTCATAGAATAACGTATATGCCAAATAATGCTGTTATTTGTCAAGTAAATTATTTGTCAGATCCATCATCCTGCCATTTCTTTTCTGGCAGAACTCCCACTGAAGTCAAATGGGGGTATTGTCTGAATAAAGTCTTTTAGGATTGGGCCCGAGGTTAAACAAAATGCAACTGGGGACAAATTGTTAATCTTCCTTGGATTCATAAACCGACATGTTGGACAATAGTTTGGCAGCTGGGGTACTGTGCCTTATGATGCTAATTTGTTCTGTCACTGATGCTGATTATTCCCTCATCTCTCTTCAATCTACCTGTTGCCACCTTGATCTGTTCGTGTGTGTGTGTGTGTGTGTGTGTGTGTGTGTGTGTGTGTGTGTGTGTGTGTGCACCTTCATCCTTGCTGGCTGTATAACCTGTCTCGGTGTCCATGGGCTCTGGATTTGCTGGGGCTCAGCCCTTTTGGTGTGTTGGCTTTCTCCGTTGTGTCCTGGGCTCTCGTGTGACCTTGGAAAGCTGCAGGATGAGCCAGGGACTGCAGCTCTAAACTGGGTGAGCAGAGCGCTTTCAAGGTGACTTGTTCTCTACTTTTGAATTAAGAAGCCTGATTATATGGCTGGTCTGTTCTTCCAGTTGTTTTTTTTTTTTTTCTTTTAGTTTATGAGTTAAATGGTCTACATCAAATTGTTTGTAGTCTTAATTCTCAAAGAAAAGGGGGAAATTAATCTCTTGTTGTCTTTATAGGAACAAAGTTAATACAAGTAAATTGCTTAAAGGATTTGTGCTTTTAGCTATTAAAATACAACTCAGGCAACTTCAGCACTTGAGCTCAGCCTCTCATTACGACCTATGGGAATGTATAATGGTTAAATTAGCTGCAGGTGGGCTCCCCTGCTGCTCCAGAAGCACATTAGAAGCATCTTGAGGGTTGCAAGTAACCTTCAAGAAATCAGACATAACGGCCTCAAACAATAGTCATTCTTGTAGCTGGTAACGTGCTCCATATGCCTGAGAGGTACTGTGCAAATGGGACTCTTTGTGGGAGACTGCTGGGGTCTGGCTTCTCTGGAAATTGAATGTTTTTATGAAATGGAAAATATTCATAAGTGTTGAGCATAGTTCTGTGCTCGAACGTGTGGTAAAGCAGTTGACACCAAAGCTTGCTGAGGGCAGTGAAAAGATCGCAGACCACCTCTCTGAAGGTGGTGTGATCCCCAGGAGGGGGCTGTGCCCCGGGAACCACATAGGATGGGACTGCTGCTGGCTTTGGTGCAAATAAGCAATTTATATCTGCATTTGGTGTACACCGATATGTTTCCTGGGGTAAAGTTTCTATTCTCTGCAGGGACTGTTGGCTGGAGTTAACACTTGTCTCACGAAGACCGTTCCGTGTCATGTGCTAGGAATTTCAGGATCGAAGCAAACCGCGAAGGAGTGTGCAACCTGCAGTGCTCGGGGCTCCGTTCCTCCTGCTCCGTTTGCTCCCTGTACCTGTTCCCAGCCCAGCGCCGGGAGCGCGCATCTCCCTTCTCCGGGCGCTGCTGGGCGGCTCTGCGGGGACCGCAGCGATGCTCAGCGCAAACTTGAGCGCGGCCGTCCCGCGGGGCCGGCCGGCCGCGGCGCTCCCGGCAGCGCTCCGGGCCCCGCGGCCCCCGCCCGGCCGGGGCTCCCGGCCGGCCGCCGGCCCTGCCCCCGCCGCGCTCGGGGGGCGGCGGCGGCCCCCGGGCCCCGCGGGGAGGGGCGGGGACGGGCGGCGGCCGCTCCCGCCGAGGAGGAGCGGCGGGCGGGGGCAGCGCTGCCGCCGCCGGGACCGGCTGAGGTCCCGCGCCCCGCAGCGCTCGGGCCGGCCGCGGCCGTGGCCGGGGTGCGAGATGGCCGCCGGCGGGAGCCGCGCCGTCCTGGGGCTGTGGCTGCTGGCGGCGGGGCTGTGCGGCGCGGCGGCGGCGGGCAGGTCCCCCAGCTGCCACGAAGTGCGGACGGCGTTCCAGCTGCGGCAGATCGGGCCCCTCAAGCTGGTCCCCGACGTGCCCACGGCCGGTCAGTACCGGGCCACCCGCGGGTGGCTCCGCCGCGGGAGGGACGCGGGGCTGGGGCGGGGCCGGGCTCCCCTCAGCCGGGCTCCCCTCAGCCGGGGAGCGCCGTGCCCGCGGGCTGCGGTAGCGCGGCGCTCCCCGGCCGGGAGCGCGGCGAGCCCGCCGCCCCGCGCGGGCGGTGCTGCCGCTGCCCGTGCCGCGCCTCACGCCGCGCGAGCCGCCGCCGAGTGCCCGGGCACGGCGCTCCTCGCGGGAAGCGGCCGCTGGCAGGAGGCGAGTCCGCCGCCGGGTGGGTTTTGGCAGGCTCGTTTCGCCGGCCAGCTGTGGGGTCCTCAGACGAGCGGTGAATTCACCGGGAGTCCGACTCGGGAAGTCATCGTGCGCTGTCAAAGGGAAAGGCAGAGGTGACACCTCGGAGGGACGCAGCCAACAGAACTTGGTTAAGCATTAGTTAAGCAGGAAGTCTGCAGCACTTGTGAAAGTTGATGAGCAGTGTTGCTCCGTTTTGCCTTCTCGGAACAATGCCTGGCAGCACTGAAAGGGGAATGTAACACACAGATAAAAAGAATAGACTTTTTAAATTGTATGTTCTACAACTAACCTGGTAATTGGATGAAGCACTTCGTAATTAAACTCTCATAAATGTATCCTAATCTAGATAATGAAGTCACATTCCTCACTTTTGCATATTTTCCATGTAAACAATTTAGTGAATCTGTTTAAAGACAATGTTTGCAGGCATTGAAATAAAAATGAGAACGTCAATCTCCTCACACAGTTTCTAGCTACCTAACGCCACTGCAATTGACTAGAGGTGTGGTGGTACAAGTTTCATTTTGGGTAGTTGTTTTATTATTTTTAATTTTTTTTTTTTTTTTTTTTGAGAGCAGTTCAACTCAAAGCCTGTGGAGTTTGATGGAAAGACTTCTTAGATGAGTTTTGGATATGTTTTCTGGCATGGATTTCTGTCTTGGGGATTAAATTTGATAGGGCATTGGGCTGATCTCTTGTGGCTGTAATCGATTGCAGAGTGCTGGTGATCTTCACTTTGCATGAAGTAGTCGAGATGGCACAAGGGTGTAGAGTTACCTGTGGAGGAAGAATCATTTGTCATTTTCTGGCAAGAAGAGATTTGCAGGAATGGCATTTTGAAGCTTGGTTTTACTGTTCTTTGCTGACAGAGGCATCAGATTGTGGTTGTTTTGGAGAGGTGAAAGAGAGGCAAAACAAGGCTTTTCATCCATTTTTATGCAAGCTTAACCCTCTCTCCTGAGCTCTTCTTGGAAGAAGTTTCTCCAGCTTTAAATTGAGGGATTTACATTATCTATAAAACTCTAGTGCTGTAGTGGAAACTTTCACAAAAAGTTGTGTGTTTTCAGAAGGAAGGTGTAGGTCCTGTGATGCTGAAGAGAATCACAGAATGATTGGAATCATTGAATGGAATGATTTGGGTTGGGAGGGACCTTAAAGCTCATTTAGTTCCAACCCTGCTGCTGTGGACAGGTTTCTTTGTCTTCTTGTGTCCTATCCAACTTCCCGGTTGAGTAACAAGCTCGCAGGAGAGAAGGTAAGGGATGATAAAATACTTTTAAATTTTAGCTCATAGAGATTTCCTTTGAAGAGGGTTGGAGCAGAGCTGAGGACAAGTGGTGCATATTGATCTTCCCTGTTCCTTGAGTATCACTGTGCTCCACCAGAGCTGGTGTGCTTTAATGATCCCTTGCTGGGCAGTAATGCCTCCTGTCTTGTGCCCTCTTTTAATTAAACACTGAAGTGTTTTCCAGCATTTTCATGGGCAGCTGTTATCAGTGGATATATCTTAACATACACACATTTCTCTGGACACTTGGGCTCATTTTATTTTGCATTTTAATGCCACGCAAATGTTGAAGCTCATCCCCTGGAGATGTTGGATGTCAGCTAAAGTGGAAGAGTGGTGGGCAGCTGGGGCTGGCGCTGGGGAGCAGTGTGCTGGGCTGGATTGAGCCTGGGTCAAGTGCCAGGAGCTTGCTGCTCACTTCTGCTCACATGGGCCAGCCCTGCCCTGCCCTGGGGTGCTCCTCAGTCACCTGCATGTTGGTTGGGGCTTGTCTTTAAAAAACGAAACTTTTGCAGTCTTGTCTGTGTACTAGATATTTTCAGTCACCAGTGTTGAAAGCCCTTGGCTAATCTCAAACCAGTATTTATGGGCTAATACAACAGATCTGTCGGAGGTTAGAGTCTTAATGATATTAGGTTCTTAGACCCTTCAGGAAAACCAGCAGTTCAGTCAACCCAGGGTCCGGGGAGGGACTGACAGACAGACAGGTGTAAATTTTCTGTGTCCTCTTAGGGTTGGTGCCCATTTCACCTGGAATCAAATTAAATGCTTGGGAGAATTAGTAGCCTACCCCCTCCTTTGGCATTCACTGTGGTTGCAGTGCTGAAGCTGTCAGCTGGTGGATCTGGGATACAGCAGTGGAGCCTGGATACGACCTGACAGGGATTGGTGTGCTGGGAGCTGCATCCCTGTGCTTGCCTGGTCTGCAGCCAGGTTCCTGGGACTGCTCGGTGGTGGGAGAGGCTGTCAGCATGGCCTGAAGCGAGGTGGAGAGTTTGGGCAGTACCTGCCATGTTATCCCTGGATAACATGTAGTGGCAAGGGAAGGAGGAAGACTCCTATGGAAAAATAAAAAAGGGCTTTTGCTCTTAAGGTGTGATGTGGATCTGGCAGCAACCTGCCTGAAAATTGTCACCTGAATTGAGCTCTTAGAGATGAGCAGGAGTTTTCTAGTTTTCTTTAAAATTTCTCTTCCACAGCTTCCCCCCAAAAGACATGAGATATTTTTCTACTGTGAAGTCTACTCCATTGATGAGTGCAGGGCTAAGGACATGTTTAGGTATGGGATGGGTAAGACATCCAAACTGCAGGCATTTTCAAATGGCAGATCTGCTTGGTCTGTCTGCAAGATTCCCCCTCTCCTCTGGTGCAATCTGTGCTTCTCTCTGGTACCCTACTTTTTTTGGAACAAATGCAATGTTTCAAGGGTAATTTGCTGGAAATAGCAAAGATTGGTCAGGAAAAGTTACTCCTGCCTTGGCTCTGATCCACAGGAAGGGCTTTTTGTGCCTTCCCCAGACTGAGAAATGAGGTAATATGTCCCCGATCGTGTACTTTGATTATCACAGGCTGAGCTGGCATGTTTTTGTAGAAGCTCCTTGGTTGACAATTTGATGAGAGAGGATTCCAGCTGTCTCCAAGGCTGGAGGGCAGTGTTAATCCTGCCAAGGGACTAAGCCTTTGGTTCCAGGGAGTCTGGATAGCTCCAACCTGAGGCGTGCTGCCCCGTCTGGAATGGCTCCTGGGCGGGGGCCGTGCCCTGCAGCCTGGGTTGTGTTACAGCCTCACTGCGCCCTGGCACGGCTCTGCCAGGGTTCCCAACACCCCCAGGCCTTTCTGGGACGTGGAGCATGGTGGTGCCTGCCTGTCACCGCTTTCCAAGCTCTCAGGAGGACAACTGGTTGAACCCAACTGGAGACTGTGACGTGCTGTGACCGCATTCAGGCTGTGAATGGTAGCAGAAGCAGAATAAAAGTTCTCTTGTGATTCCTTGGGTAATCATGTAGCCACCAGAACGTCCTACTCATTCACATATGCTCAGTTCTTCTGGCTTGTTGACTAGTGTCTGAGCATGCAAAAACCCAGTCTGTAAACATATGGTAAGTAAGAAGAATTGGGCTGGTTTCTGAGAAGCATGGAAAAATATGTGATTTGTGAAAGAATTTTAGGAACTCTTAACCTTATAAATAATCATCTTGTAGAAAGCTACCACAGGGATGGTTAGCTTTATCTTGTTGTACTACTGATTTATAAAGACTGCAGAAGATGCCCAGGCTGTGCTCAGGAACTTGCTTCTGGAGGGCAGGTTTTGTTCTAGTAAAACCTGCTTTTTCTTCCTATGTCATCCTGCACCTTAAATCAGCAGGAGTGTTCATTACTGTGTACATATAGAATTTTATTGTAGAGCTGGACGTGCATTAACAATTTATGCATTAAAGCTCTTTTACTTTCTGAATAATGACACCCAAGCCCTAGATTCCGACCAGAAGCCTCTTGCTGTATGTGGTGCAGCATCTCTGAATCTCTTCCAACTCAGTCTGTGGCACAGCTCCCATGTGTGTTGAGAAAGGAGCATGAGCTAGATCTCTATTTTGTATATGTCCAAGAATATCTATTAAATTGCCCATTTTCTTATGAAGTGAGGCATGCCACACTTTTTTCCTGTTTTTCTTTTATTACTGCTCAGCTTTTCTGCCTCCCTGATGAGAACAACGAGTTTCCCCTGGTGAAGGTGTAGTGCAGGAAGGCATTTTGCTCACAGAGACATTTCTGTCAGTGTCTGCTGTGTGTCAGGGGAGACATGGACGTGCTGTATTGGCTCTGGGAAGCTTTTTCCCCATCAGAATGAGAAACTAAAGTCCTCTGGTGTGAGCTGCAGTTGGGTATTCTGTCCACCTGCACATGTAGTTGTGTGGGACTGCCTTGAGCAGGGTGGATGAAGGGTACATCTGAGAGGAGACACTGCTGGATGAGCACGCTTCTGTTTGTGCAGAGGAACTATATAGGGTGGTTACAATTGTTAAAAAAGGCACAACAAATAGTCCTGTTTCCATGAGGTTCCTGGTTCTTTTTGGCAAACCTGATTGTTATCCAAGTTTGAAATGTCCTTGGTGTTACCTTGCAGCTTATGGGAAGGTGTTTTTCCTGTTACACTTTGTATTTGCTTATTTATGAGCACACAGGCTTCTTGGTGATTTTTATCACAAAGGGGTGAGATACCTTTTGGAGGGGGTGGGCTGGTCCAATGTGAGATGGATTCTATTCCCATCTTTGTTCCTCTCTGAGTAGCCCAGAAGAGTTGTGCCTCAGTTTCCCTGTCTACAGCCTATATAGTGATATATTACTGTAACTTTATTGCTGAAAACCCACCATGAAAGGGTGGTAGATTGCAGCTAGAAAAATAC